ATCGAGTTTTCCACGAAAAGTGCCCTAATACATATTCGCTCCGAAAACTTAATTTCTAATTAATCGCACTCTGCGCGATAACGCGATAAGCCGCATCCTTGAAAAATCCAGCGTCTTACATTTCGGGAAATTTCGCAAAAATCGCTCTCCGGATTTTTTTCCCGACTTTTTGCGATCCCTACTCGAGCGAGGGCTCGGCTTATCTGCGCGCCTTATCGGCAGAATGATAACTCGCGCGATGATATCGCTTTCTCCCTCGGTCCGATGATTTATGCAATTATCCGGGCGAGTAAGTGAGGCAGGAGGAGGATTTAACCCGGCGGACGTTAAGGGGGGCATTAATCGCGGTTATTAATCGATCCTTAACCGCGTTGGATAACGCGGTTCGGATAAGGCCCCCGCGAGTTATCGCGATGACTCTCTCGTTACGAGATGGATCGAGCCTTTTCTAACCGGGTTCCCGGTCAACTCTTGCCGGGGCATAAAGCACCGAGAGGTCCGTTCCTACATTATGCGGTAAGCGTTGCACCGGATGTGCTAACAATAAGTACACGGTGCAATAAGTACACGCACGGCCGCGCTTACCGTGTTTAAAAAGTGCATAAACCCCCCCTATAGTACGACCAAATAAAAAATCGACTTTAATACATTTCTAATCAATTTTGTCCGGTGGCTTTAAATCGGAGTAGTCGCGATTCCCTTTATTCCTCTGATTGGCGCGAATCGATCGCTGTCGGCTTGGATCAGAGGCATACTATTAGTAATTCTTGGGTCGCCGTAGGCTTCTATTAGCGGGCACAAACAGACCGAATAGATGCGCCGGCCGCCACCGAAATAGAAATAGAACGCGCAACCGCGGCTTGGGACGGTTTTTGCTCGTGTTCCTCGCGTTCCTCGGATGAATCACTAGGGGTTGCCCCTCGCGGCGCGAGTCCCCAGCCCTGATAACCGGGAGCGAGAGTCCCCAATGATAAGGAGGATCGATAGAAAATTCCCAAAATTAGGGAAATCCGTGACAACGGCATAATAGTTCGGATAAGTGATAAGGGAGCGAGCTCGCAAATTCGCGGGACAATTAAAACCACGAAATCCACGCTAAAGTGGGAAATTTTCCAGGGAGGAAAGAAGTAACGCCGAAATATGATTTATGATAAAGAAAAGAAAAACAGAGTCATTAGAGCGGAGAGTGCATCAGAACTCGTCAGAAAAGAGAGGAGCACTCGAGGTCTCCTTTGGCTCCGGCAAAGAGCACGCCGCGAGGTTGAATCACCTCGCTAAATGCAGTTGCGTAATTTTAGGTGGGACGATGAGGTGTACGATCGAAATTCTACGGCAACCGGCCGACACGTCCTATTTAGGCCGTCTGCTCCCGAAGAAGATCCCGAAGAGGATCCCGATGACGAAGAGCATACGTGGCATTCCACCCTTTGCCATCCCCCTTTGGCCTATACGGAGCGCGGGATTATTCATCGTGACCTCACTCAGCATCCAACGCCCTGCCTGCATTAAAAAGCTGTAATAATAAATTCCCTAATTTCCAGAAGAAAAAAAAATTCGGGTATAAAACAGGGAATGGAGAACTCGGGCAGGTTTTCTCGCGTTTTTCCGGCCATTTTCACGTTTCCCGCGTTTCATCCCCCGAGACGGGTAAATCGAGGAGGGAGGAGGGGAGGCCTCTCATCTCGTTTCCTAGACGAAACTGCGGACAATAAATCTCCTCCTCATCACCCTAAGTGGCCGTTCCTCGGCTTCGCATCCCCTAGAAGCTTTCCGGGATGAATAATAAACGCAGCGAGAGGTATAAGGCAGACTCGCGGGGTGCATTTCAAAGTGCATCCCCGTCCGCCATGGACTAGAGAGAGCTTTGAAGAGCCAACCCTGGAGGATATATGCGAGGGCTTTCACGGAGTCTGTGGTCCTCGGTCGAAAATATAGAGGAAACAGGACGAACGCCTTTTACCGAGGGATCGACTCTTCCGACACTTCCAGCTCCCCCTTCGGCGGAATCCGCGGAAAATATGAGCATTCCGCGGCGGCAGTAAAAAAGGAAAATGGACGTAATCAGTCGGGAAAGCGGCCTGGGTCGGTATTTTCTCGCGGGTCCTTTCCGCGAGAACGAAAGAGCAAATCCAGGACGCGCCAGGACCTCTCCTTAGGAGTTTGACATCGATATGCGTGAAAAAAAAGTAATTCCCTTAGGTCGGCATTTTTCTAATTAACGATACTTCTGTCTGCACTAATTATACTTAAAGGATCTAGTTACGGGGAATTAAATCCCGCGTCTCAATGCGGATAAAGTCGACCAGAAGGATGTTTTCTCTCCGCGCGGGACACGATAAGAACGGAATGTCTTAACCGAACAGGACTCGTGCAGTGAACGCTCGTCCTTGGAAGGCTCGGCTGTCGCGTGAGAGGGAAACTTTTATCCAGGGGCAATAAACATACGCTTAACTAAAGTCACGGTCCCGCACTAGATGCGATCTACTTCGAATTCCAATAATCCTGGCGAATTTTCCTGAGAAGGGAAATTACCGGGCAAAGATGCGTTTAATCGGACAAAACTCAAGAGGTCCGTTTAAGTCACGATTTAGGCCGACATTCGTCGCAATGAATTATTTCTTCGAGTAATTATACCGAATAAATATCGCATTAAATACAGTCGCGCATTAATAAAATTGTACATCGGTGTCGTACAAAAATCGCCATCACCGGGATGAGGAGTCGGTCCCGATGTCCTCGTCGCTTTTGTTCCCGGCCACGCGGAGAAGACCAGTCCCAGGAATGCGTCCTCGAGGAGCCCGTTCGCCCCGTTGAAGAAAATCCCGGCCGAAGCGATAAACATTCGTTTATCCCGCGAGGCGCGAGGGCGGCTTCCACCGAGGTCGGAAAAATGCGCGCAAAACGACCAAAGCCTCCAGGAATGTCCCGGGACTTCGGTTTCAGGATCTCCCGGCGAAATCCGAAGGACGTCGCCGCAACTAAGGGACCGCGACGCATTCGATCTCCCTCGCTCCTTTCGGTCTCTCTCCCCTCTCGGCGATGCCATTTCTCCGTCTCTCTCTCCCCAGGGCGACGTCGCCTCTCCGGTCTCTCTCCATCCTAGCGTTATCCTCGCCCCATCTCCGTCCTTCCTTGGCGATATCGTCGCGGCGTCTCGCTCCTTCTCCGGCGTTATTGTCGCAGTATGCAGATTCGAAGGTCGCCGCACAAAGAGAGGCCCGTGGAAAACTCGGAGATTCGGAGGACTCGCCTCCTGGTAAACAGGATCCCCCCTCGCCCCGAAAACTGGCAGGACTCGTTATCCGACTGCAAATCCGGGTCCGCGGGACATTTTCATTTTTTCCGCAAACATCCCGCTAACTCCCGTCTCCTCGGACCTCTTCGATATTCTCCCTTCGATCCTTGTCACCTCGACTCCACTTTCCCCCACCTCCGAGCCCATGAAATACATACTTCAACGTATAATAAACGTTAACCTTTCGACGCAGACGTGCGTAGCAGGATGTCGCAACGCGCTCTCCTGATCCTTGCTGAACTTTGCGTCTACATGTTCATCATACGTTACGTCACGAGTCCTTTGATTATTTTTTTTTCTCCCGTTTTCAAAGGATTACGCGTTATAACGTGCCAAGGATCAGTTTAAACGCGTCTTAATATATATGCATCTCGAGGCGCACGTTTATAGGGATTAATTTGAAAGGGCTTGCAGGAGTCTTGGAGGTCGCTGTGCGCTGCATCTGCATCCGCAGGGACGAAGGGAGAAGAGGCATCCTAAGAGACGAGGGGAATTCTAGCTAGTCCCTGTCCGGCGATCGCTCCTCTCCTTCTTCCCCGTCTTTGTCGAGAGAAGTTCCCGGCTCGGCCTCGGCCGTCCTTGCCCCGTCAAGTAGGCAACAAGTCCGTTACCGGTCGCCTACTAACAGATTCGAAAACATCCGCGTGAACGGATTAGAAAGGTTCCTGCTCGGAGATCGGCGAACGACTCTGCGTAGGAGGGAAAGTTACCAGGAATTCCACCTACTTCGTCGGTTACTTGAGTTCTCCTCGAGATCGGGCCGCGAGGTCGCGCCACGTCGACCCCGCTCGATCCTCCATTTTTTTTCTCCTCTCTCACCATTCCAGTACCTGGAAAATATCCGCTCTGAATATCGATCTACATAAGAAAGGATATTCTAAGATATAAGTATACGCACGGATACGTGGTACCGCATGTACGGGATATTCACGAGGAGGGATTTCTCGCCGACGGGAACCTAACCTTAAAGAGGCCCCGGGGTCCTGGCGCGCGGGGAATTCCGGGGTACGCAGGGGTGACTTCGCCCCTCGAGATATATCCGCCTGCATCGGCTGGCAACCAGTTCCTCCTTCCTAGGAATAATTACCGAAGCCAGGTAATTGCCTGGAATCACGCGTGCGGCGTGAACTTTGTCCCCGGCGAGATCGGGCAGGGCGATGCGCGCGGCCGCCATATTAGGTTGGGTCGGATCGCCTAGGAGTATTTTCGCGTCGCCTCCTAAAGGAGTTTATCGCTCTTTCCTCGGGAAATCGGGACTTTCGGAGAGGGTCCCATATTTACGAAAACCCGGGCGCGCTCAGGTAATTCGGAGGGGATCTCTCCGAAGTGGGTCGGCCGAGCGCGATCGAGAAGGTCGCCATCTTACCAGGGGAAGCCGATGCGGCATCTAAGCATCCCTCCGGTCGCTCCTAAACGGCCGAGAGAGGCCGAGGGGCCCGAGTCCTCCCACTCGGGCGCGCGTTTCGTTCCAAAGGACGCGCCTGCGTGCGTATTACGGCCCGAAGTGGCACGGTTTCGTAACTCGTCCCTGCGCCAGCAATGGCGGCGCTCGCGGAAGAGAGCGGCCTCGGCGGGACTCGGGAGTTTCCGGCGGCGCTCGGCCGCGCCGGCGCGCGGCTGCTCGCGGCTCGCGCCGCCGCGACCGACAGGGGTGGGGGCGGCGAGCGACGCGCGCCGCGCTCAATCCTCAGTGGGCCGTCGCGCGGAGCGGAGCTCCCGAAATTCGCCCTCGTGTTCACCGTCGGGTTAACCGCCATATCCGCCCGAGATGCGAGGCTACGCGACGACGCTCCTGTTCCTCGGCTCTCCCGGAGCCTCCCCTCGCTCCAGCGTCCTTTAGGCGAAGGGAAAGAAGAATTCCTAAGCGGAAGCTGCTAACCCTCCGTCGGGCCGTTCGTTAAACCCGCGACGTGCGCGCGCACCTGCGGCACCGGGTGCCGCCCGGAGTGCCAAGTTCAGGGCCGTGCCAGTCGGCGCTCGCGCCCCGGGGAGAGTGTACGCGAGTGTCGCCCTGTGCCCCGCAGCCCCCGGGAGGCGACGAGCCTCCCCCCGTGGGACCCGCCGGAACCATGACCGCGGATCTCTTCGAGACCACCTGCGTCCCCGGCCACCTCGCTCCCACGCCCCAGCGACTCGAGAGGCTCCTCTCCAAGCAGACCCTCGAGGAACTCTACGACGTCGAGGAGCAGCCTTTCGCCAGGTAACCGGCGTACTCTGGTCTTCGACCCTCTACCTTCAAATAAATATACCTCTGTATCTTCGGACCCTAGTTTTAAGACGATGATTTTATTTCTCCTCGGGAATGATTCCCTACCTCCACGTAAATGTAACCCTGTATTTTCGGACGCTAGTTTTAAGACGCTGATTTTCTTAGCGTGAATAATTGCAGGGAAAAGTTAAGATCGTTATCGTTATACCATTAAGGAGAGACGGACTATGGGTGGGTTTTGATAACGAGAGTAAATCCTGGAATTGGATATTAATTAAATTAATTTTCTGGAGTCTAGAGGCGGTGTATTGGGATTTATGATATGGGGGATTTTTTTTTTTATTTGTGGTTTTAAATAATTAGTCCTTTTCTATCCTGTATTTCTGTACTGAATTATGGAACTTTTCCGTCCGGAAGTATCAAGGCAGTCTCGTGGAAGAGGAGCTCCGGGGGAAGTCCGCGAAAAAGGTCCCCCGTGAAAGTTGACCACGCCGAGAGGGAATTCCTCGCGCGAAATCTCTCTTACGGTATTCCGCGATTCGACGGAAGTCCCGTCGCTCGGCTCTCCTCGTAAACCTCGAAAACTCGGCGGGGAAAATGTCGGAGGGTCGGTCGTTGATTCTCTATTTTGAAAATCCGCGAGAGACCCCAGGAATGCGGACTTAACGCGGGGAGAGGAATTCCTGGGAGGGTGTTGCCCTAGGTCGGGGACCCAGACGGGAGATTTTGCGGAGGAAAATTGGGAGATATACTTTTCCCCGTCCACGAGGTCGACTCCTGACCCTGGGAGCCGTTTCAGGGTCAGCGACGAACCGGAAGGGTACTCGGGGTTAAAGAAAAAAAAAAAGAGAGGAAGAAAAATTCAAGACCCCGTTTTTGCGTTTCCTCTTAGAAGGCCGAAATGTCGGGAAAAATTCGGAATTTTCCGCTGCGAGGTGGGTGGGTCTTGGAAAATGGGCAAATGGACGAATGGGAGGGGGGAATCGCCCCGATGGTCCTTTCGGGTCGTTTTTGGCCCTTTGGAAACGAATTTCGAGGTTCTAGAGAAATCCCCGAATTCTCATGGAATTCTTTTTCGGCGTTCGCCTCTCGCGGAGGGGATCGATAATCGTAAATAAATTGAAAATAAATCGGTAAGCGGGGCGACGAGTCGCGGGTCGAGGGGGTCGGCCATCTCGCGACAAAGGCGTCGTAATCGAGTCGCAACTCGACGCCGGTAGGCGGCTTGTAAATATTATCATGGCAACCCGTGGCCTTCGGTTCGATATTCGCCATGTAAATAAAGCCTGGGTCTCCCCTCGCGCGGATCGATCCTCCGATTTTGCTCGGCTGGAAACGCTCCTCTTCCGCGCCTCCTTCGCCCACCTCGGCGTCTCGAGAGGACCGCCGAGAGAGAGAGAGAGGGGCCGCCATGAGAAATTTTAGCACCGAGTCGAAATTAGCCGTGGCCGGACCGAGTATTCTAAGACCGCGAGGTATGCACTCGCCACTTGATATTTATATCCTTTATTGGCCGGATGGAGCCGCGGGGGATGAAGAACCTTTCGATTGCAGGCATCCTTGTTTTATATTTATTTNTTATTTATTTATTCCACGTTCGATACACCAATTTCCCATTTGGGGAAATGCAGGTGTACGAATGAATGCCGCAGGATGGGATTTTTTTTTTATATTTTCATTTACTCGCGCTTTCTACTTGATTTTCTCTTCGGTGGGCGGATAAATGTGCTGTTGGTTTTTCTATATTGTTTTTTCCCTATCTTATTCAATTTTCCTTCCCCTGGCACGCTTTCTGCGCGCGTTTCGACCGAACTCTCGAGTAGAATCAACACGGGGAAATTCCCCGCTCGTTGCAAGGGCCGCAGCTGCTCCGTCCGGGCCAGCTGGTCCCCAGGGACTGGATGTGCTCCCGAAGGACTCCCTTAGTCTCCATCCTGAATTTTCTTCCAGAGGTCCGCAATGGCCCCTCCCGAGAGGATCCCCGTCTCGGGAGTTCCAGGAAAAACGTTGCAGCCACCTCTTCGTTACCGAAACTCCGAAAAGGGCGGTCTCGGGTCTCTCTCTCTCTCCCACTGAATTCCCATCTCGCGTCCTCCTCGACATCCGTTTTCCTCTCTGTCTTCGAGGGCCGTCCTCGTCGGCCGATCGGCGCCGGGCGCCGCTCCGTCCTTCTCCTTCCGGCGGCGGAGACGAGGAAGAGAGAGAGGGAGAAAGAGACGGACAGAGACGCCCCATTCATAAGTCCGGAACGTCGTACGCGCGAGTCGTCTCTCCGCCGAAAATATATTTATCGTCCCCCTCTTTGCGGCCCCCTTCTCCCTCCCTCCCTCCCTCTCTTTCTCTCTCTTTTTACGAGCGGGAATTGAAGATGCAATTACGCGCGGGCGCATTCCGCTCCCGTTCGGGGAACCGCTTCTTAAATAGCGCCGGCTCGGTTTCTTCACCGGCGAGGAATCGAGGAGGCACGCCGGAATGGCCGGGGAAAAAGAGCGGAAAAAGGATGCGGAGGGAGGGACGAAAAGAACGGAATCCAAGGGGCGCGGGTAAAAAGAAATCCCTACGAGAGTTCACGGTCAAGTTTACACCCCGTTTCTCCTCTCCGTCCATTTCTGCTCCCTTTTTATTTTACCCCCCTTCCCCATTTTGAGGAGCTACGGGATTCCGCTCCACGCGTCTTCGCCATTTTTTTCCGGATTCTTATGTCCCGGGGTACTTTAAATATTTCTCTCCTTTTTTTTTTATATGTATGGATATTTCTCGTGGAAGGCGAATCGAAGGGCGAGGGGGATTAAATTTATACGGGAAAATGGCCGCGCCTAATAGCGAAATGGCGAAACCGCGATTGCCTCGGTGTGCGATTACACCGAGGGGATTACCGGTCGACCTTAGAAGGATATCGGATACTCGGGCAGGTGGAAACACGAGGCTCTCTCGAAAGACGAGAGTCCTCGATCGGCCGCTTAAATGTCCGATATCTCGGGGCTACCCTGGTCTCTCTGCCTTTGATCTCTCTCTCTCTCTCTCACTCTGTCTCTCTCCTTCGCCTTGATCCCGAGGAAAAGCGGCCGAAAGTCATCTGTGGGGAGTCAAAAATATCCTCCCTGGTATGGATTAAGAAAATTAATTATTAGAGGAATTTTCTGATTTTCAAATATATGTTTAAAAGAGGGCCCCTCAAGTGGCAGTAGTATCTACCACAGCAGGCTGAGGAGTGGGTACCTTTTTATTGTCGCAATCGCGGTAACGTTTATTTTTCATTATCATCTCATTCTTCTTCCTTTTTTTTTTCTTAACACAAAGGCTGACCGCCGGTTTATCGGTGAGGTAATGCGGGGAAGGTGGACTGCGCACGCGCGGCCGAGTCACCGGGCTCACGTGACCGAATCGCGGCGCGCCGATTGGCCGGCGCGGCTTGGTCACGTGATCCCGCGAGAGAACGTCACCCACGTGGCAGCCGCGGCATTCCGCGTCGCGACTCCGTCGCGCGCGCGCACTCGGTCTGACGTCGTCCCGTCGATTTTTTCTTTTTTCCTTTTTCATCTTTTTTCCTTTCCCTCCTCCTAGTCTAAACACTAGCGCGCTATCACCGAGTTCTCTCTTTCCGCATCTCGAAACGGACGGAATTACATTTTTTTTTGGTTTTTCTTTCTCGTGCTTTTATTCCTTAAGGATCGATCCAGGGGAGGATCTCGAGACCCAGGGTGAGTCTCCCGTAACTGGAGCTATTCTCGGAGGCTCTTTTTGGGGGAGAAAACTCATTCCGGTCGCCGTTCCTCTTTTCACCTCCCGAGCGATTCCCGACCGGTTCTCGGACTTTAGAAATCGAAACGCCGTCTCTCGAAAATCGAACTTCTCTCTCGACTCTCTTCCGGCGCTCTCTCGGACCCGGAAAGTCTGTCTATCTCTCTCTCGTCCCCTCTCTCTGATAAAGGGACTCTCAGGGAATCCGGCGATTCGTTCACCCTCGTTCTTTCCCCGTTTACCTTTATATGAATTTTTTTTTCAATTAAATTCCCTTTGTCTTTGCCCTGTTTTTTTTTTCTTTTTATTCTTCGCCCGCGCGAAAGCGTGCCTATACGTCGCGGGGTGTCGGTGTGTGCGGGGACGTGCGTGCCTCTTACGTGTCTCTCTATAGACTCGTATCCACGCAGGATGGTCATTCGACGATGACCTGGATGCAGTGAAACCGGCCGCGTGTGGGACGCGAATCGCCCCGAGCGAGCGATTACGCGCTCTCGGGCTAATTGCGATCGGCCCTCGCAAATTACCACCTCGGAGGAGAGGATCGAGGCTTTCCCGATTTCCCGGACGAATTTCGGATCGGGCAGTTTGGAAAGCACGTCGACCGCGATTTTTCTGAATGTTTGGAATTTTTTTTTTTTTGGGGGAATTTTTGCAAGTTTCTAGGATTTTTTTTCCATAATTTACAAGAATGGAGGTTTTACTCTTGTGGGATTTTTAGATAGTACTCTTTTTTTTTTTCGAAGACTATCAGGCGTCTCTCCCCTCGTCGCTTCCTCTCGTCGTCTTTGCAACGGGAGTACATCCTGGCGCCAGCATTGATGCACCATGTGCCCCGTCGGGAATGCATTTACTCGTAGCGAACGATGCACATGCCCGATGCATATAAAAAGCGCCCCCTTACCCGCCCTCCTAGAAGTGCGTCGGTGCATCTGCAACGCGACGATTGTCAGGCGCCGTCGAGTGTCGTAAAGGGAGCTGAAAGGAGTCGATCTTAATGGGGGGGGGGGAAAAAAAAAAAAAAATAGCCACGGGATTTTTAGAACGTTTTTTATTTTTAAATTTTCTGCTGAATTAAAAAGAAATGGAAGAATAACGCACGAAAAAGGTCGTCGCCGGTCTCTCGCGATCGGGATAGAAAGATCCCCCTTTCTTGGATTTTTTTAAACGCCTTTTTTAACATTTTCTGCTGAACTTTGGAGGGAATAAAAAGAAGACAAAATTAGAGTAAGAAAAGGACGGATGAAAAT